AACGGAGGGCAGAACCTCAGAGATGACCTAAGGCTAGAGGCTGCATGGCTAGCCTATGAAGCTGTTTTCATGTTAGTGCACCAGTTGCAAAGAAGTTACTATTTGTCATCCATTTTTAACCACTGCAGTATTAGCAGGATCTCCCTTGACGTAATTCTAATTCATATTTTTAATGTCTAATCAAAGGCTAGAGTTTTCATTTCCCACATAGCTGGATGAAATTCTTTCAACATGAAGACTCTCTCTCTGTTGTCCAAGTATAGGGATATACTCCTAAACTTAACTTGTTCACATAACATGAGCAACAAACATGGTGGAATGCCAGCAGCCATAAGAGCATGGCCTGGCAGAATTCAGTCTGGTCCAGGCTGAACAAAGCTACAGCCACACAGGGCAGTCTTGAACATCTGTACTCTGCCCCTAAGCAGGGACACTGTTGTACTGTAATTTGACAGCAATAAAATAAAGGAGCATTTAAAAAGAAAGCTGTATGTCAAGAATTTCTTCATAACAGACGGATTTTTTTGAAAGAACAAAGTTCTCATTATACTGACTGTTGAGATTCTTCTTTGTAAAACTGTGACAAATCTAATAGTGCATGGGGGGATATTTTTTAATAGAGCCAACAAACAGATGGATGAGGTTTTGGAGAGGCAGAGACAGAAACATATAAACTTCAGCCAAATGCAAAGAAAGAGAAACTGCCTGGGAAAACATAACCGAGAGTAACTCGGCATGGCTTAGTATTGAGAGCTGAACTTGCAGCTTTGACAAGGCTGACTTTAAGGCGACCTTCAGTGAAGCCTCTTAACAGTGTATGCTGGGCAATCGCTGGTAAATCTTTATTAATTTTAATTGGCGGCACCCATTTATAAGAACCATTAAAAAGGATAAATTGAGCCCATCCGGCGTAATGTCTTTTGTTAATTAGTTTGTCAGCACTGTTTTAATATCCCCTAATGACTTCATATTTCAGGCCTGACATTAAAGGAGACGCTGTGAGAAAGGAAATGGTCTTATCACCGTGTACATTTTTTTCTTTTTTTGAACAAAAAGTGTCCTTCCAGGCCTGACCAAGGTTAGGTGTCATTTAACTCAGACAAGAAGGTAGCACAAGACTTGGAAGGGCCCTCTCACCCTGTCCAGACTTCACCTTGCTTCTGACCAGCATGCTCTGCTGAGATTTTCTCTTTTTGCAGACCCACGCAACAGCGGAAGAAATTAAAAATCATCAAGTCACCAAATTCCCACCCTTCCTAGCTCGTCATGGGCTTGTCTCCAGTATCAAATCACAACCATGTGGGAAACATATGGGAAAAACCCAACATACAACTGCTGCAACACCTCCCTTAAGTAAAAGCAGGTTACACCCCTACAAAACTTAAGTTCTTTTGATTCGTAACAACATGCACAGCACCGAGATCCTCATCTGTCTTGGGGACCACAAACTTACAGATGAGAAGCAGATAGGATAAGAGCATCAGCAAAGAATGCTTCGTGTATGAATCTGATTTGCAAAGGAAGACAAAGGAGAAATTACTTCTCTAGCTATAACGCTTGGCCTGGAACAAAGAGAAGGGAACAAATCGGTGATTTTGGTGTCAACGGTTCTCTTCTTCCTCCCTTGTGCTCATCATGTATTTCTTGGACTAGCACACTCAACCTGCAAGCATGGAAGACAAGGAACTCGAATTCAGTTACAAATGTTGAAAAAATATGTTTTTTCTGCTTCTAATGAGTACAATATGTTAGACCCTTATGTCTCAAGTAGGTTATGAAGATTTTGTATTAGGTAATAAAAACAATGTAGCACAAACATTTAACCCTTTCTCTTGAATATGTATGCAGCTGATATTTTTTATTCAAGGAGGAAGTGCATAAGGTAAGGGCCAGGAGAAGGTCAGCTGCAGCAATCACAGAAGGCAATGCAACCCATGATTGTTCTAGAGCCCCTTTATGAAGTTAATTTGATTTTCTTAGACACTATTGTCTTTCTCACTGTTCTGCCACACATTAAATGTCTTTGAGCTGGTGAACACAGCAAGGGAAGTACTTTCTCACTGTGAGGTCTGCAGCAAGTTTTATCCCTGCTCAGTTTCCTGCAGTGGCTCCATCAGTCAGGGGGAAGATCCTGAAATAACTTAGACTTTTTGTCAATGAAAGACTTTTTCTTGAGATCTGGATTCTATAAGGGCTTTTTCATTGAAGTTTACATAGGTGAGCAATATGAGGAAAATAGCATCCTCCTCCAGTTAATATCACATTTGATGCTTTGGGGTCTAGTGTTACATTAATCCACGAAAGGGTGAAGTGAATAAGAGAGAAACAGCTAATAAGAAAATCAGCTTTTCCTTTATTCATTAATCAAAAAGTGTTTACATTTATGCTGACAGTGGTAAAAGGAAAATTAAATCTTTAGCAAAAAAATAGCTCTTTTTTGGTTTCCCTGAAATTTTAGGGTAACCCATAAATGGCTCTTCATAAGCATCATACTGAGAATTGTAGAGAGATGTGTACTACTTTGCTAGATCACCTTTGAGCAAAACACAAACGAGTAATAACTGTAAAGACTGAATTAGTTACTAGTTTTATTACTGAGCAAAATCCTTGCCTCAAAGTCAATGCAAATCTTGCTGTAAAGATCTCGAGAACTAACAGGTTTTACTTTTTCCATTAAAATTTAGGGCTAATGATTTCACCACAGATTTTTTTTCTTTTGATGAATACACAGTCACAGCACTTGAATATTAAAAGCTGCTCTATGATCTCCCAAAAGCCATCCTACTGTCATTGCAAGCTTGTGCCGTGTTTCATGCAGATTTAAAATTTTCAGGGGACCGCTAAAACTATGCCCTATGTGAAGCACACAGTAAAAGCATGCCTAGGGTGAAATAGATATTCCCATCAGGCTGAACACCTCTTTGAATGAGCTGCCTTTACAGCTAATAAAAGTCTTGAGCTTTCCCTCCAACCAGCCTGTCTCTTGTGCACTGGTGTGCTCTACAGAATTCAGTCTTTTATAATCAAAGGTCTGTATAACACTGCCAGCACAGTTGGTACTTAGTCTCCATTTTACAGCTCTGACAAATACAAATTTACATAATAATCCTTCATTTCTGTAAAACACCATTATTCATAACAAGCATATTGCCAGTTTTCACAACAGAACAAAACCTTGTATTTTCATTGACCCAGTACTTTTAGCCTTTGTTGTACAAAACCTCATGCCTTAATTAGTCCTGCTATTGCTAGCCAGAAAGCGAAGAGAGATTATTTTCTTCATATGCATTAACTCAATGACAGTTGAAACTCACCTGGGAACTGAGAAAGCAAGCATCTAATATGCCTGTTTCCAGTCACATGTAAAAGTCAGAGAAAAAGAGAACAGTATCTACCACTGCTCAAATGTGGCCAACTTAGCCCCATGTCTTCCAGTCTATTCTCATACATATTCCAACACTATTTTCACCTCATGGTATCTTTCCTTTCATATAAAACTTTCTGTCTTCCAATACATCATTCTTGCTTCTTGTCCTCACAATTTAGGTAGCCAATAATCAAATTTTTTAATACCAATAAAATGCCTGTATTTTAATAAATCATTTAAAGTTTGAAAATGCAAACCCTATTTCAGGTTTAATAATAAATATATATATATAAATAAAATATAAAACTAAGACTTTAAGAAAAATTTAATACTTTATTGTAGACTTTTAATGTATTTTTTATCCAAAATTCAGATTGCCAAATCCAACCACACACACAGCACCTAAGAAACGTAGCACCCATTAAAATAACCTGACTAGTATAAATAAGCCTATACAATTAATTTTATGAATATATATGAGCACAGGCAGGCCCCACCCATGACGTACAGACCCTGTCTGTGCCAGCTGAAGTTCCCTGACCGGTCCTCCAGGCTGGTTCTGGACTCATTACCTGTCAGGAATTGTTGAGGAACTTACACAGATTTGTCTGTGTTTCTGGATTATTCAGTGCACATGTTGAAAGTTTTCCTTTCCCTGACAGAGTTTCAAGCTGGAAGAAGTCAGAGATCACAGCTCCTATTTACAACACTTTTTTGTTAATAAATCTGTTATGAATTATAAAATCAAGCTGTTAACTTTAATAGCAGAGAACTACACACAGTACATCTACTTCACGCAGCTCAGTCACGTGCACACCAACACCCAAAGTTGTTACCAGATTAGAGCAACAGTTGGGAGGCCAACCCCAGCCATTTGATCAGAAGCAGAGGATTGTATTGATACAACAAGGTCTTCCACGCAAGCATTCAGAAAGTGCTTTAAGCGGTCCCTTGTTTCAACTGGTGTTATATATATGTATACACCTGTAATTCCTGTCTGCAGACAGCAGCCACCACTGTTTCAGATGTGGTGCGAGTCACACATCCCACTGTGGATCCTGATGTTTGCTGGTGGCATTCAACAGATTTGGTTGACTCACATGCTAATTTATCCATGCTTGTGGATTACTAATCTCTGGAGTTTATCAGGTTTGAGGAGACTTTCAGACACTTTTCCCCTTCGACTTGCTGTCTCTGGTGTCTATTTCTAACTCCACCTCCATAAATACCTACAGAATCCACTCACATGGAAGGGCTTTTCCAACACACAGGACATCTGACACTTCCGGGAAAAAGCAGACCTATTAGGTGATACCATGTGAACTTCGCTGTTATGTGCAGTAGCTCAAGGAGACAAGAGGTACTAACAGATATGTGAATACCCGAGTAAAAGCTAAAAATTGAATTGTTTACAGTGGATTTTTTTTTTGCTGCTGTTTCATCTGTTTTGGTTTATTGTTTTGCTTTTTAGGAAAACAACTAATGAGAATAAAAGGAAAACAAAGGTAAAGTTAATCAATTGGGTTTTTTATTTAGCTCATTATTTAAATAAAAGATTAAAAACAAGTTCAAAATCAGGCATTTTTAAATCATTCCACAGAAACAACTTTGAAAATAACCCGAATTTTGGTACCTGTTTTGATCATTCATCAAGAGATCATAGGCTAATTTTTTGTCAAAATCAGCTTTGTAGATTACAACTCAGCACTGGAAAAAACAGTTGCCTGCTTTCCCCCACGGGAAAAAAACAGAGAAGGAAACAAACTAAATCACATCACATTGCATAAAAACACAAATGTCATTATCTATGACTCTCATATGCTATTATTTACCCAGTAACTTCTTAGTCCTGCATCATGCTCAGCATTCAGCATCAAAGGAAAGCACTGCTGTGTTAGCTTGCACTTACAGTTGTAGCTCTCAAACCACCTCACAAAAACTGCAATATCTCTATCCTCATACTGCAGAGAAGAAACTGAAACATAAGGATAAGTTGTTTGATTTTGGTGGCAGAATCAGGATAGTTCTGCTTATATTTTCCCTGGAAAAAATTAGTAATTTTTTTTTATTTTTTCATTATTTTTTTTACAGAGGACTAGAAAGTTAAGGCTGCATATTTCTCAGCTCTCTTTTGACAAGAAAACTACTAATCCTTCCCAAATTCCCTTATTTTCTTCAGTATTCCACTCACCCTAACCTTTTCCTAAACCAGTTCTTGGTCACAAGGGATAGAAACTTTCAGTACAAATCTTCCCAATGAAAAGTCTCCTCTCTGGCTTTAGGCCACCACTTTTAATCTCCCAATTTTCTCTTAGTCCACTGCTTTCCATAATTAAAACAATCACGAGCCCTTCCCTGTTGGTGAGCACGAGGTCAAGCATGGCACCTCTCCTTGTCGGTTCCTCTATTACTTGCAGAAGGAAGTTGTCTTCCACACAATCGACGAACCTCCTGGATTGCTTGTGCTGGGCCGTACTGGCATTCCAACAGATGTCAGGGTGGTTGAAGTCACCCATGAGAATGAGGGCCTGTGAGTGTGAGGCTTTTCCTATCTGCCTATCGAGTGCTTCATCCGCAGATTCCTCTTGATCAGCCGGTCTGTAACAGATCTGTCTCCCATCGCTGTTTTCCCTTTAACCCTGACCCACAAACTCTCTGTTAACTGCTCACCTGTCTCCAGACAGAGTTCCACACTCTTCAGCCTATCCCTAACATAAAGGGCAACTCCCCCTCCACGCCTGCCAACCCTGTCTTTTCTAAAGATTCTGTAACCTTCCATTCCAACACTCCAGCCACAGGAGCCACCCCACCATGTTTCTGTGATGCCTATTATATCATACCCCTGTAGACGAGCACACATCTCTAATTCCTCGTTTGTTCCCCATGCTACGGGCATTTGTATAGAGGCATCTGAGCCGAGCTCCAAATGAAGCCGGCTCATTGGCTGGAGCAGCCAGAATATCTCTGCATTGCTCTGAGCATTTATGATAGGTGCTGGCAACTGACTGGGTGTGTTGGGATGGAATGATGCCCCCCTCCCCCCAACACATCCAGTTTAAAGCCTCCTTGACCAATCTGGCAAGCCTCCTACCAAAACTGTTCTTCCCCTTCGTATCAGCTCCACCAGCTCCCGCTAGACCTGGCCTACAAACTTGGGTCCCTTGTTCAAGACACCCAAACCCCTGACTGTGACACCACCCTTTTAACCATTTATTAACCTGGCTAATCCTCCTTGCTTTTTTTAGGTCTTCCCCTGTATCCTGGAGAATAGACGGAAAGACTGTCTGAGCTCCAGAGTCCCTAACCACCTCTCCCAGGGCTCTGTAGTCCTTCTTTATGCTCCCCAGGCTACTACTATCTATATCCCTAGCACCCACATGTATCACCAGAAGTGGGTAATAGTCAGTGGGACTTACCAGAGCAGGCAGCCTCCCTGCCACATCCCTGATCCGTGCCCCTGGTAGGCAACACACCTCCCTTGAAACTGGGTCAGGCTGACAGACGAGTGCTTCTGTCGCTTTCAAAGTAGAATCCCCTACTACTACGACCCGCTGCTTTTTCCTGGCAGCACCAGTAGAGATCTTCTTTACTAGTGCATCAGCCAGCTGTTTCTGGCACAAGTGCGTTTCCTCATGAGCCCCCTGCAGGACAGCAAAGCGTAGGGGCAAGAGGTTTAGGAGGAAGTCCCTTGCTTTTAATTGTCCTTTTCCTCCTTTTTTTGTTGGTTTTTTTTTTTTGTCACCAATTCCCAGATTTTAGGGTTAACAACCTCCTTCTTTCCTCCATGAGCTAGAGGAGAAGCTTGAGGACTCTGCAGTTTGGGCAGGGAGCAAGCATTCCTGCTTCCTCTCAGCTACCCTGACATCTTGTAGCCCATTAATAGCATCCTGCAGCTCAGCCACCTGCTGCAGGAGAGCCTCCACCAGGGAGCACCAAGTGCAGCCCTGCCCATTGTGCACCTTTCCCAGTGCAGGTGCTCTCTACACCCCGAAGTCTGCACTGCAGCCTCCCCTTTCATCGGCTCTGTCTGAGTGCCTACGCTGGCCACCGCCGGGGCAGTCAGAGCAGAGCTCCCAGACCGAGCACTGGTCGTGCGGCCAGTGCTCACCATCCCGCTTGCCTGCCCGCGCAAACTGCCGCGCAAACTTCCTCGACCCGCTCTGTTTACCACGCTCCTGGTCGCTCACATGAGTACATGAATGTACTCATAATCTATCCTGGCAAAAAGGGCAGCTGTTCAAAACAAAAGTTTTTACAGGTAGAGAAAAAATCCTCACAAAACTGATCTATTAATGTTGTTTATACACATTTCTAGAGATGGCCTAGCTACGCAAAGTACAAATTGTTTAACAAATTATTGAACATCTTCGTCCGTGACATGGACAGCAGGATTGAGCGCGCCCTCAGCAAGTTTGCCAATGACACCAAGCTGTGTGGTTCGGTTGATACGCTGGAGGGAAGGAATGCCATCCAGAGGGACCTTGACACGCTTGTGAGGTGGGCTGATGCCAACCTCATGAAGTTTAACTGTGCCAAGTGCAAGGTCCTACACCTGGGTCGGAGCAAACAGCTACAGGCTAGGCAGAGAAGAGATTCAGAGCAGCCCTGCAGAGAAGGACTTGGGGGTGCTGGTCGATGAGAAAATGAACATGAGCTGGCTTCAGTGTGCGCTCACAGTCCAGAAAGCCAACCGTATCCTGGGCTGCATCAAAAGGAGCGTGACCAGCAGGTTGAAGGAGGTGATCCTGCCCCTCTACTCTGTTCTTGTGAGACCTCACTTGGAGTATTGTGTGCAGTTCTGGTGTCCTCAACATAAAAAGGACATGGAACTGTTGGAACAAGTCCAGAGGAGGGCCACGAGAATGATCAGGGGACTGGAGCACCTCCCATATGAAGATAGGCTGAGAAAGTTGGGGCTGTTCACGCTGGAGAAGAGAAGGCTGCAGGGGGCCTATAGGGATGCTGGGGATGGACTCTTCATTAGGGCCTGTAGTGATAGGACAAGGGGTAACGGGTTAAAACTTAAACAGGGGAAGTTTAGATTGGATATAAGGAGGAAATTCGTTCCTGTTAGGGTGGTGAGGCACTGGAATAGGTTGCCCAAGGAGGTTGTGAATGCTCCATCCCTGGCAGTGTTCAAGGCCAGGTCGGACGAGGCCTTGGGTGATATGGTTTAGTGTGAGGTGTCCCTGCCCATGGCAGGGGGGTTGGAACTAGATGATCTTAAGGTCCTTTCCAACCCTACCTATTCTATGATTCTACGATTCTATGAAATAATTCATATAACAGTAGAATTAACACTCACTGAATCAGCTATGCAAGGAATAAGGATCCCTTTCCTCTTCATAAGAAAATAAACCTTACACTGCCCTCATCCATGCAGAAATAGCAAAGCAGGAGCTGTGAATTCCTCTGCAAACTGAAAATCAAACTAACTCAGCAGAAACACTTTGTAAGATCTATAATATACAACAGACACATTATAGATCTTACAAGAACAAGGATTCACTTTCCTATTGGCATGTGTTACCAAGTCTTTGAAATGCCTCAGAATCTGATGAAGCATGGGCTAAATAAATAGACTGTGAGGTGCACTGAAAACTTGCTGAACTGTCAGGCTCAAAGGGTTGTGATCAACGGCACAAAGCCCAGCTGGAGGCCTGGCACTAATGGTATTACTCAGAAACAGAAAGAGGCAGATACAACAATAAACGAATCTTTAAATCAGACTGTAGTTTTTAAATAGAGTAAAAATAGCCTTTGAGGTACCTTGACAAGTTATTTTACCACTATAAATCTAAAAAAACCCAACATTCTCAGGGCCATGGGTTAGTATTTTCACTAACTGATCTTTTCCTTTTTCTTCATTTTCACTTTTTCTTCTTCCATCAAGCACAGCTATTGTAAACCAAAATGCAGAAAACTCAAACCACTTTTGTAACAAAATAACTATAAGAAATTTAAAATTCCATGCTAATATTTATAAATACTAAAATGTAATTCATTTTCACTAGTGTGACCAAGAAATCAGTGTTTTGTTGTTGAAAGCCCAAAGACTGGGGGATTCTCAAAATTTTTACTATGCACAAGGAAGCAAGAGTCAACAACATAATTGTGTTGCAGGGAAAGCAAAGTTGAATGAATATTGCAAGCACAGAGCTTCTGGCAGGAGGATTACTCAGCAGAGGGAGCAGTTGCCCTGAGTCACCTTTCTTTCCTTCCAGCATTAGCATTGCTGTAGCTGCAAATTATTGTAAGAGAAGTTTGTAAAGCAGTGCAGTAGTTTTTATTAGCCTAAATATGATGACTGGGAAAAAAAAATAACTTTCAAGAACAGGAATCCTTCCTGAGTACATATTGAGAACAAACTCTCTGTGTTTACTTAGATAGGTTTGACCTATGAAGTTTCCAGGACACGATTTGATGCAAAGGATGAACAAGGTTACATTCTTGGCAATGAAAATGAAGCAGCTAGAAACATGGAATATCAACCATGGGAAGTATCATTCTTATTAAGACAGAGAAAGACACTCTAATACAGAATATATTGAGAAAGTGCTGCAGGTTTCATAGCATTCTGTGTATAGAACCTGCAATACAAAATGAGGCACATACCTTACAGAATTTGGGGCACTGCAACACAAAACTGTGGTAACTCACACTATTCCCACATGAATATGCCAAAATCAGTGCTGAGAGTACACGGGCACATTCAGTGATTTTTATTAATATCCAAAACCAACACTTGCTCTCACTCCATTTTTTAAGTCTTTACTTTTCTAAAACAGAAAAAATAGAGCAAATTTTCTGTTCACTGTCTTCTGCTTACCAGACACTACAGTCATACATGTTTAGTTAGACCAAGTATTATTTATGTTTTATTTTACATCCTTTAATTCTTACCAATATATTAAACATTTCAGCCTTCCCTTCATTATCCTGTTAAATCAGTTACAGGACTTAAAACTGGGAAAGGGATCTTTGTTCAACATGGGTCTCAAGAAGAGCTACTCAGTCATCTGTGAAAGAAATAACTCATCAATGTATGATTTAAAAGTCTCTGGATTATTT